ATGGGGGGGGGGGGGGGGGGTCGAGGCGGGAAAAAGCATCAAGTGCGGGGACGCGGTAGGCGTTGTTCTCGGGCGTACAGAAAGGACGTGAAGTGGGACTACTATGGTGGCATCGAACCCGAGACAAGGGTAAAACGGTGGCCGCACGAGAAGAGTGGTAAGCATACGCAGAACCTTGCGGCGGCAACCACTGCAGCATCCGCACTAGCAACACTGCTGACCCATGATTTACGCACCAAAACACGTGCGTGCACGAACACAGGTGGAATACGAGAAAAAGCTCATTCGCGGAAAAGCGCAGGCGCAAAATTATTGTTCACCTGCACGACGAAGAGCTCGTTGGTGTTACCCACAAACTTGGTCAGCATGTTGCTCTCCCCCGTGGACATGTCGTACCCCTTCAAATCGTCCCACCCAGCGTCGGCACTGTTTGGCACAGAGAACAAAACAAAGGCAACAAGTGGGTCACATGTGGGGCGCACGTATGCGTAGTACATAGTTGACTGAAAAGAAACGGGGAAACATCAAATGCTGGAAAAAACAGACTAAAAAAAATGAGAAAACTACAGCAACGCGTCATCGCCGACGTCTACATCACAAACAAACAAAAACGCAACGTATAGCCAAAGCTGTCGAAACCGGTAGAGGTGCTGTAACCGAACGCTCACGCTTTGGGGACGAACAAAAGACTGTACTCATAATACGACTCCTCGATCATAACCTTTGCGGCGAAAACAGAACAAACAGAACAGAACAGAACAGAAACGGCGATTTGGCGGTGAAGCAGGAGGACTGTATACATCGTATGTTGGTGTACGTCGCTAAAGACCCTTATGGTAATATGGACGCGGAATTTGGGATGAACATGAGTGTTGTTGATATCCGTTAACTACCTCTATATCTATGCGAATGCCTGACAGTTGTGTACTTCTAGAACTGTTCATGTACCAAAAAATAAAAAATAAAAAGGCGCTCCTATTCAGAATCAGACGAGTGCTGTGAACGAGGACGAAGAGAATGCTTGGCAGCAATAAAAACACACTTTACACAGAACTCAAGTGGAGACAGGAGCGAATGCCTGACAGTTGTGTAGAACCATGCACAAAAAAAAAAGAATGGCGCTCCTATTGAAAACCAGACGAACTCAGCGAGTAGTGCTGTGAACGAGGACGAAGAGAATACTTGGCAGAAAAAAAAAACACACTTTTACACAGAACTCAAGTGGAGAGACAGCAGCGATTTGCGCATACTAGTCCTACAACTAAACTGTACCGCCGTAGTCGGTGACACGACGAAGAGGATACAGCAATGAAACGATACCTTTTCGGGAAGCTCTCGACGAGGCGGCTTCAATGCCACCCCGTTTTCGGCGCTGCCACTCTTACTTACTCTTTCTTTTTTGGAGAAATGTTTTGTTTTGAGAATCGATCCAGGGGGTGTGGTATATTGTGTCATGTCGCCTACGGTATTCTTGGCGCCAGTCTCTACCTTTCGGTGTATGTCTGACGCACCAGCAATGCTGTTACTTTCGTCTACACACATGTGCGCATTAGCATACCTGAACTTGAAGAAGGAACCGATGATCCACATGTGCTGCGCGTCGTTCATGGTCTTCCACATCTTGATCTGCTTCTTCTCGTACTCCTGGCGACAACGGAAAAAAAGAAAGGGCGTCAAAGAACCCAAGCATGAGCAATGCCTAAAGGGCCAACGAGTAATTTTGACGGGGCGATGGTCTGTTCTGCTGTTTTTCTCTCGCTGCTCTCTGTTCTTGTTGTTGTTGCTTTTTTGTCACTCCCTCAAACTTCGCGTACGGACACAGCACACGCACGACTGCAGCATGATAGCATTCGCTGACATTTGGTATGAACCAATCACGGCAGCACCTGTGCGGGACCACTCTTAAGACATCTCGAAATCTCCGCCTTGTTCATCGCGTCTGCGTGCACATGCATCGTACAACAAGGTCCAATGCCATGCGTCAAAGAAAAAAAGAAGACGGAAAACATCTGACCACGACGCGTACAACATAGATGACGGACCATCACCGCCCAGAGGCAAATGCCAAGAAACCCAGCCAGGGAACATGAAAAAGGACCTCTCGCTTCCGCTGTAGACCCAAACATGAAAACCAAGAGTTGGTGAACATACCGCAAGGGTAAGTGAGAACGCACGGGGGTGCGATCGATTTTTAAATCGATTTTGAAGTGATTCGGTTCGGTAGGTTCTTGACTTTTTAATCGATATTTAAATGATACGGTAGGTTCCTGACTTTTTATCGCCACCCCGTGCGATATCACCGGTAAGTGCCACATCACCGAACCGTGCGTTCTTTGGCATCCTTACGGTATTCCATTTTCCAGCTTTCAGTGATGAGAGAACAATATTCTTCCCGTCGCAACAAAAGGTCACAGGTTTAAAGAAAAAAAAGCGGTCAAAAAGTATCCCACGCAAAGCACAACACACACCTTGTACGCCCCCTGGCTGGTGAAGGGGATCATGCACAGCCCCTTGGGCTTGAGAACGCGGTACACCTCGCGCATCACGAGGCGGGGGTCGGTGAAGAACTCCATCGAGTTCGGCACCAGCACGAAGTCGAACGAATCGGCAGGGTAAGGAAGCTCCGGCTGGTCCGCGGCGCCAGGTGGGGGTGGGGGAGGGGGAGGGGGTAGAAGGTTTAATGTGAGGGTTGCGGTAAATTTTGGCGCTGGACGCAAAAAAAAAAGGGGTTGCGTAGGCAGCAGTTGTTGATGCCATTCTTGGGGTGGGCGGGTGGGCGGGGATGACTGCGTACCACACAGCGCCTGACCCCCCCCCCCCCCTGAAAAAAAAAAAAAACTTCCCTGGGTTGACCCCTTGGGGTGAGGGCTACCCAATTGTGCGCGTGTGCCCCAATGGCAAAAGGGGCTGTGTAAAAAAAACTGCGTACCAAATGGCACCATGCGCTGTGATTTTTGTCTCTGCCTTTGCTTCAGTATAATACATGAATATCCCAAAAACAGGGGAAAACGGGGGGGGGGGGGGGGGG